ACTTACCTTGCACTTGGACAGAGGGAGTAATTTTTTCTCTGTAATCATTTTGTCATAAAAACATACAGAGTATTAAGTTAATTTTTTTTAGGGAAAACGGTCTAATCAGTCCACGTACTATTACGAGAAAGTCAATTGACTTTATGCACTATTTTTTCAATCAATTAAGTAGGGATGGCAACGGGGTGGGTTTGGGCGGGGTTTCACTCTCCCATCTCAGCCCCATTTCTAAAAAGTTTCCCCCATCCCCGCTCCATCCCCCGTCACTCCTAGACCCGCCCCATCCTTGCCTCGCTCCGTTGTCCCTCACGGGTGCCCCATATATATTTTAATTATTTTATTTGTGTATTTTTTAGTCCATTTATAGATAAATAAATATATATAGCACTAAAGAGTTAAACTAGATAATATTGTGTTAGATAAAAGATGATACCGCCAATGTTTAATAATTCTTCAAGTTGAATAAGTTCTATGAAAAAAATAAAACTAAAAATATGAGTAAACATATTATTGAGTAAACATATTACCATCATTATATTGTATGTCGTTCCAAATTTATCATCAATAATACTACAATTAATTATATATATTTTACAAAGGTATGTGTGCGTTCTATTTACTCAGTTTCACACTTTTAATACTCATATATCATTTATGCTAAATATTTATAGTCATTATTTATTATTCTAATATAATACGTTCGTGGTATTAATTCATTAATCATGACTAATACAAATACATGTATGCATGTCTATAAGTATGTGTATGTGTTTGTTATATAGTACATATAATTTAATTAAATAAGTTTATACATTATTAATATATGTATGTTTGAGTATATATTTATAACGGGGACGGGGCAGGGACGAGGCGAGTGCAGTAATCTCCATCCCCCGCCCCATATTTTAGTGGGGTGGAAATATCTCTCCCATCCCCACCCGCCCCATCCTTCCCCCGCGGGGCAGTTCCCCATGGGTCCCCACCCGCATTGTCATCCTTACATTTAAGTCTATCAAAGTGTCAAAAAATGACCAAATTTGTATTTTCTTCGGTAACTTATCTGTTTCCCTATTAATAGGCATACATGGATCATCCACGTGGCCTTTTTTTTTCAAGTAAGCGCTTATTTGATTATTTGACCATCCACATGGCATTAACTTATCTTTTTCCTTTTTATTTCTTCTTTTTCTTTTTCATACTCCAATTTTGCAACTCTCCTTCTCTTTTTCTTGTTGAGTTGTTTCTCTTTTCTTTTGTTTCTCTATTCTCTTCTCTTCTTTCTTCCTTCTTCCCCCTCTAGCTTTTCATCTTTCTGCCACCGTCCACTTTGTCGCTGCCGGCCATCTTGGTCGAGCTTCGCCGCCGCTACGGTCGAGTTCTGCCATCGCCGCTGACATCAGCTGGTTGCCATTAAAGAAGAACAGGGGTTGTCTTGGGGTTGCCATATTCGCCTTCTCTAGCCATGAAAGAAATAAAAAAGGAAAAAAGAAAAAAACAGTACAAAATAGGTAAGTGGCATCCATATCAACAATATAAAGGCTACCGGTCGTTTACTAGATAAATGATAAAATTAGTGAAAATTTGACACTAAATAGACTTAATTTGATTTAAAAAATAGTTTATGAACTCAATTGATTTTTTCAAAATAGTATGCAGACTGATTTGACGGTTTCCCCAATTTTTATGATCTTTCCCATGTTACTAATATTATACTAGTATATAAAAAAAATTGAAAAACAGTTTTTTCCCCTCAAATTATCTTTTTTCAATCGGTTTTTATAATTTAAAAAATACATTATTGGTACCTGATGATAAATAATTAAAAATTATGATATATTCATTTCTAAAATAAAAATTGAATCTTAAATAAAAAATTATAACGATTTCAAAATAAAATCATTTGATTAGGGATAGCGGGAGGGGTGAACAAAATTGCTTTCTCAGTACATATGAAAATGAAAATTACCATGGATTAGTTCTAGAAATTGGGTTAAAAGGAATTTAGAAATTCAACATGATTTTAATTATTCCACTTCTACATAGGAACCATTCGATCTTACATCTAAAACTCAATGAATTTTGGGTCGAAATGGATGATGATTGTACTTTTTTAGTAATTTTTAAGAGCCCGTTTGGTAACACTAAAACCAGTCGAATTAGTTGATTCTGTAGAAATTTATGAAATTCTGACTGAAGTGATTGGATTAATTGATTATGTTGATTTATAAAAAAGTCATATTTAAAATATATTTTATTAATAAAATAAAGAAATAATCACATAAAAAATAACTAAAATTGTCATCTATACCAACTTCAGTCAATACCGTCAGAAAAGTAACTTTAACTTTATTTTTTCTTATCATTCCACAATTTAGAGCGAAATCAAAAGTTCCGTGGTGAAAAATTGACTTATAATGCGAAAAATAGAGTCATCAAACGGGCTCTAATAGTTATTTTTAACTTTTGATTTTTGTGTCTTTTTTCTAATTATCATGCTTTTGTTATTATCTTTTTAACCTCTGCAATTCGTGACCCCTATGAGTCTGGTAATTTCTGTGGCACATATGGTATATTTTTCAATTTGAATTCAATTTGTGAAATGTGTGAATTATTTTGAAAAATAGATAACAATAATATTACTTTTCACTAATCTTCGAATAATAACTTCATCACTTAATCTCAGGAAAAAATCACATTTTCTTTTTGTGTAAAGGCAAAATAAAATGATTTGATTTGCCACACACATAGAGGATGAAGGTACACCCCTCCCAATTTTTCTAACTAATATTTTCTTTACCCACAAAGATAGCTCAGTTAATAAATTATAGAAAAGTTGAAAGATTGAACAACGATCAAAATCTGCAGCGCCTAATTGAAGGTTACAGCTCATGTGCGCTAAACTTGACTTCTGGTGCGCACAATTACTGAGTCTACCACTATTGGATTGACTGAGTCACCATGACTTACCATCTCCCAAATGACTTATCGGGTCGAAGCGTGGAGAGCCCTTGGGCAGGGGCAGAGCTAGAGGACAAACCTAGGTCCTGGCCCACCCCAATCTAAAAAATGTTTTAATTTGTAAGGCAAAAACATTCTAATTAGAAGGAGATTTTGGACTTTAGAGTATTCCCACCACACCAAATTCCTACAGATTTGTAGTCATTAAAATCGTGGAAAGCCACATCCTTTCATTTGATTCCAAATTGAACCCGCACGAGTAGTTCAGTTGATTCGATGGTGAGAAATTTGGAACATTGACCAAGGTTTGATACCCGCAACGACCGTGTTGAGGTTACAACTCCTGCGTGTTTGGCTGAACCTCTAGTGCGCACAGGTATAAGATCTACCATTATTAGGTCGATTGAATCACCGTGACTTACATCCTCCCAAAAATTCTGTCGGGTCGGAATGTGTGGATCCTTGGAGTTGGAGATTCAACCTTCAAGATCGATTCCAAATTGAAAATATACATCTGAAAGGAATAATTGAACAAAAAGCATTTGAAGTGGTGATTTCCTTCATTTACTCTGAGCAAGATCTCCCACTCCGAACACACCATAACTTTGAATAGCCAACTGCCGACCACATCAATGTAAACTGTAAAGTGACGCGGCAAAAAAAGTCAGCCTTTGATCAAATCCAACAATCAGATAATTATGTTCACACCCTTGTGAACATGGATTGAAATATTGGATAAATAGACATGGTTCATGAAAATTTATGAGGAGATTAAGTTAAAAAATCAAAAATTTGTTCATATAAATAACTAAAAACCTGTGTACAAATATTGGTCTGAACTTATGTACTCCGTATGTTTTATGCAGAGATGTCAATCGCTGCACAGAAATCAATATTTTTGCATAGATCTCAATTGCTTGACAGATAGGAAATGTCCTTGTCGTTCCAAAAGGTGAAATCTCCCACTCCAGGAGCCCACCACATCTCAACGCGACAGGATTTTTGGGAGGATGTAAGTCAAGGTAAAAGTCCCGTGCGTACCAGAGGTCCGACCCAGCACGCAAGAGTTGTAACCTTCACACGGCCGTTGCGTGTTTCGAACCTTGGTAATTGTTCCAAATTTCTCACCATTAAACCAACTATGGATAGACTCGGGCCGAGTGGCCCGACCCGGAACCGGCACTGTTCCGGCCCGGCCCGACCCGACCCGGTGGCCCGGTCAGTGACCGGTCCGGGTAGGCCCGGCCCGTGGGTTTTCCGGTCCGGGCTCGGGTCACCCAAAACAAGGCCCGACCCGGCCGGGCCCGGTTCGGGCCAATTTTTTTTTTTTGTTTTTTCAATTTTTTTTAACTTTTCGGGTTGGGCTGGGTATTTTGGGCCATTTGGGGTGGTTTGGGGGGTTGGGGGTGGGAGGGGGGTTAATTAGGAAGAGGAAAACAAAATATATATATATATATATATATAATGGGCCTGGCCCGGCTCGGCCCCGGACCAGACCCGGTGGTTACCCGGGCCAGGCCCGGGTCCACCATTTCTGACCCGCCGGCCCACCCGGGCCTAGGCCCGACCCGGACCCGGCCCGGACCCGAGTCCAACCCTAAAACCAACTGAGCTACCCGTGCAGATTTGTTTTACATTAACATTTAGTCATTTAGTCTATAAAATTAGATTTTTCAATACCCATTTCTCCTTTATGACTTAATTTTAAAGGCAGATATTGGTCTGACAAATATTATTGAAAATATATACAAGGACTTTTTGTTAATAAAGTAGAGGCTATTTGATGCTTTCCCATTATTTAATAGAAAACTTTATTATTATTTTATTGTGAAGAAAAACTTAAATATCATTAATGAAATCATTGTTTAATGCATGAAAAATGAAATTTGGAGAAATCCAAAACTAAGATTGACAATCAAACAAAGAACACGTGACTTGTGCAAAGCCATGAGACACCTTGTTCATTGATCGTCTAACAAAAGAAAATGAGATGTCCCAAAAGAAGAAGAAAATTAAACGTGTTTTAAGATGCATTCAACGAATGAAGAGATCCCAACATGACTTTAATAAGGGTTGCTTCATCAATCACAAACACAGAACTTAACCATCCAAACGAAAGGAAAGATTAAATGAGTTTTATGGATTGTAGTATGAACAATCACATCTCAAGCGGAGCACCTACCTTTACCAGATGATGTTTGCCACCATCACAGTGAACCAAGGGATTGACAGACAGAAAGAGCTAATAAGATCTAATATAATGTTACCAGGTCTGGAACAATTATACTCGACAGAAAGAGCTAATAAGATCACTCAAAGGTAAAAGCAGGAGTTGACAAGCAATTTTATGATGAAACCCATAAATCCCAGTTAGCCAACTAGCAAGAGCTAGGAAGCCAAGTCAAATACATCTTGCTTTTCCATTACTCGCTGCTTGATATCGGCTTTCGTGCCACGAAGAAATACATTGGCGTGAAGATACCTTTCCTGAAACCACCAAGTCATATCCATATTTATAATGTGGCTCATGTTGATTTCACATATTAATAGATTGTCCTGATAGGAGTAGTTTAATGTCTTATTAGTCCGTTTCTCTTTTTATATTCATCCATTGATTATTGGTTACAAAAAACAAATCTAGAAGTCTTGGTGAACCTTTTTATGACATTTAATTTCGGATAGAAATCATAGTCTATTTCAGCTGGTCTTACTTATAACCTATAGGAACCGGCCTGACTGGCCTTTAGACTTGCCAAGATTTCATTGTTTGTTTGAGCTTATATCATCACCTATTAAACGAGTACTTGTTCTTCCCAGAAGACTAAATTAATAAGAAGAATAGTTTAAGGTTTTATATGACGAATACTTTTATCTTTTTTTATCTGACATAACTTGACAAGTAGACATTAAAAGCTAACGTGGTAATTGAATAATGGTAAACAAAGTCAAAGAACCCAAAATGACTCACTTCCCGCCAGCAACAAGTCCTTCTGCAGCTTTCTCTAAGAAATCTTGAACCCTTTGGCTTCCTTTAGGAGCTACCCCCACATATTCCAGTGCCTTGACCTATTAGACGAAAGGCTTTAATTATTAACTAATAAGACCATGAAGAACTCTGGATGGCAGTCTTTTAAATGGATCTTACAAGATTTCTAGTTAAAAGACGCCCAACTGCTGTTAGACGGAAGCTACTGAGTGAGAAGTGACTTGTATCCAATGGCAAATACCAAGGGATAGGTGAGTCCTCCGTGAGATCCTTCTCCCAAATAACCTACATGACGTTGAAAACAATTCAACTAAAAATAAGCTTTCAAGAGGTAAAGAAGATTGTAAGACCGTTATTAAGAGGGATTGATTCACATTTAGTTGATCTGGGAAAAGCTTTTCAGTATTCAAAAAGTGTAGAACAATTAAGTCAGGCCATCCTTTGTATATAATAAGTTAATAGCTACTACCTCCGTCCCATAATGTAATATACATTTGGGGTTGGTTCGAGTTTTAAGATGGTAAAGGATAAAGTGACTGTTTTGCTATTCGAGTAAAACTTTTGGTTTACAAAAAGTAAAGAGTGGAATGATAGATAAAGGGATAAAGTAAGAAAGCAAAAAGTTGGTGGAGTTCAATTTAGTAAAGTGCTCATAGTTTTTGGACAACTTAAAAAGGAAAGTGTATCTTACAAAGTGGGATGAGGGAGTACTTAAAAACTAGATACAACTTCCAGAATAAAGATTCTAAACTCACTTCAAAGCCTGCATGCTTGACCGCTTCAAGACATTGCGTAGTTAACCTTACATCTGGGAGCCCATTACCAAGCTCAATTTCTAACTGATAATCATTTAAACACAACACAATTAGACAATTAGATAACCATTTAAGCATATCTCAAAATTCATGATGCAAAGACATATATTTCGAAACATGATAATGATTTCAATTTAATGTCTATAACTACCTTGATCCTTTTGTGTTCCGAGTTGTTTGGATCATAGGAATCAGTCATGCACCATTCATAAGCAGCAAAACATTGCCCAGGCTTTAGTACCCTATGTATCTCCTTGTAGCATTCAACCTTTGTATGAAGCAAGACATACAACCACAGCAGCTTAAGTAATAGGAATTGTAAAGAAAAAGAGGCAGCATCTTAAACGCTGATTCATGCAAACAATAAGGGCCTTGTTGGTAAGGGTTATTTGGCAAAAGTGGCTGGATCTACTAAATTTTCTAAAACAGAAACATCTGATAGCAGTGCCTATTTAAGCCAAATAGTAAACCAAAAGCTACTCATTCGGCTTATAAAAAGCACAACAAGGCAAAACTGACTACCATGCAAACTTAATAGGGATACATGTAAAACTTGTTTATTAAGAAGATAGTAGGTTTTATACTGCATCGGGAGCATGGCAAGTTGCTTCGATTGCATATACAGCATCAAAGTTGTTGTCGGGAAAAGGCATTTTCATGAAGTCTGCCTGCATGTCATCAGGAACCAATCAACAACCAGTTTGGATGAGTCAATTAGAACAAATAGCGTAGGATTGAGTGGGTTGGTTACTAACCTTCACAAAGTCACAAGTCTTATCTAAGCCGGCTTTACGGTTCAACTCCTATAGAGTAGCAAAGTCGTAGGCAATGAAACATGGAAGCAATATAATATCACAAAGTATGAACAGCTCTGCCCCTCCCCTTCCCCACCCAACAAAATAGTCTGGTTTGAAATACTGATATTTCAGTATCACAACCAAGGTTCTCTGTTTTGGACAGGAGTGGTTTCAGTAGTTTTACCTTTCCTCTGGATATCTGATATTCATTGTTGTTGAGGCCTGTGATCTTTGTTAGGCTGAAATATATTTTTAAAACAAAATGAGACTCACACAGCAAAATAATTATGCCTATTCTCAATAAAAACAATGTGGAAATATCAGTGTTCTAAAAAGCGCTCCACACTTAACCAGATCCCAGAACCTAGATGAGCCTTGGGTGGTATTTTAATGACGATGGGAAAAACATAAAAAAGTCAATGCAGCAACCCTTGGTCTACCTGAATCGAGAGATCTCTCTTAATGGGCCGCCAACTCCACATCCTACGTCCAAGACCTATAGTTCGCATTTCAAGATTAATTGATATAAATATAATGGTGGTTGAGGTTATATAATAGATAATATCATATTACCTTATGTCCGGGTTTCAAGTTTAATTGTAAAGCAAGGAAGTGTTCATGACGCTTAATACTCTCTTGAAGGGTTTCTCCATTCCATCTTAAGGAAAAAGCAATAAGAAAAGAATATGTTAGGGATCAGTGTCACAGAAAGCATACAATAGACTATGGGACACCCACCTCGGTGCGAAATGGAATGATTCTCCCCAACCATATTCGTAGAAACTAGTCACAAGATCATAGTATTTATTGACCTGAGAAATAAAAAGAACAAAACATCAAACCACTTTTGCCACAAAAACCGATTAAGTTGTGTGTTCCATGGTAAACAAATGCTGATCAGCAACTCCAGGCTTCCCTAACTCATCCCTTTAACATAATGGAACATCAATCTCAACAGTGTACAGAGTAAGAAACAAAAATATGAATACACTTCTATTGTCATACTTATACTGTGCACACAGTATACCTAAAGTCTAGACTCCAAAACCTACTAAAACCACCCAGAAGTCATTCTCAAACAACACAAAAAAAAAAACTGATGTACCTTTTATAGTTTTATTTAACAAGAGAGTTCCAAAAATTAGAATAAAACACAAGTTTATTTTAATGGGACTACCACTGTTTTTTCATGAATATTAGCTTCTTTCATTCTTAAAAAAGAATCATCAACTACTTTTATTCTTGTTTAGTACATAACGAGTCATATTTTTAGCACCAAACAAGGATAATCTAATTTATGTGTATGGCTTGTGTTTTAGGCCTATTTCTAGTAAATTCTCCAGACTTATTCTCTACACATAGAGAGAGAGCTTACAGAGTTACAAAAAACTAAAAATTATCAAAATGACCATATGTTTAAAATAAAAAAAGATTAAGCCTTTTAAATATACTTTCTCAATTTCTACAGTTCTACAAATAGATAATATCAAGACTTAGGGGTGCTTAAATTGCTTACTTAAGCTTAACAACAATACAACATCTAATACACTTAAAGTTTTTTTTAAATGCCTTTTTTTACTATTTGTTTGATGTGGAATCAACCTTTTCCAGGGAAATCAACAGAATCTTGAAAGAAGTAGTCTCACCATGTCAGTGTAGTTATTCTTTCTCTCCTCCTCTTCACCTCCATAGTAACCATGGTACTTCTCATACCTGATAGAATAAACCACATCATGTAACCACAACACAAAACAATAACATGTGTTTTACAAAATATGAATCAACATAAATAACAGATAATAGTATTTGGAAACAGAGCAAGATTTACTTGTCAACCGCAGACAAAACCTCGGACTTGTCGATCTTTCCACCAAGACCAGATGCGAAATCAAAGGTTCCGGTTTTAGACATCTCTTCCTAGTCACTGCTGATTCTGGGATTCGAAAAGCACAAGAAAACACATCAAAAAATGGCTAAATTGACACGCTGAATTATCAGGCGCAAGATATAGAAAAACGGGTTTAGATTTTTTAATAAATCCTAAACTTTCCTAAAAAGATCGGAGTGCAGCTTACGTATATGGGAAAGTCGAAACTCGAAAGGATCTATCAGAAATCTGTCACTAGAGATCAAGAGAGTAGAGAGTAGGAGTGTACTAGGATTATAATCATTGAGGAGTATATAATACTCCCGTACTAATATGTTAAAATATGACACAGGTAGAGAGTATAACCACAATCACAACCACACGTAGAGAGTGGGGCTACTCACGTAAGTGATTTGAATTCGGGACCTAATCATTATTGCATTCCCCCGCTGGTTGCTATCATTTGAGTTACACACACCGGTAGTAATATGTTTTAAATTTGTACAGAAATTTGTTGATCTAGTCTCACCTCTATTTTATTTTTGTCTATTTTGAATTGGTGTAATATGATATGATAATATTTGATCTATATGTATTTTATAACTATGCAAGTTTGGTCTGGTCTGAAATGTATAAATCTGATCTGGTCTGGTTTCAAATAGAAAAAAATCCAAATAAAAACATCTTACCTCCTTGAAAAGAATAAATTAAGTGCATTCAATTCATCAAATCAATAGTTTTGAAAATGCATGTCGAAAATGTAATAAACATGATAAAAAATCTAGTGGCAAATTTGTAATTATGTAGAAAAATACTTCGTCCGATCTCAAAACAACTTCACATTTTTCTTTTTGGTAGATCCAAAATAAACTTCACACTTCTATTTTTGCCAACCTTTCAATATAAAGTTAACCTTATACTCTTACTTTATTATCTACTTTACATTCACTTTCTCTCTCGCTACACTGTATCTACTTTATTGGGGGACATAATAAGAAAGTCAACACAAAAAAATTCACTTTCTTAAAAATTGTGAAGTCAAACAGTGGAGTTCTTTTGGAACCATACTGAAGAGCCGTTTGGCAACACTGTTTTTCAGCTTATCAGGCTTATCAGCCAACTTTTTCATCAAACACGTAACTTTTGCTTCGTGCGCTGAATTGTTTAATAAGCAGAAAAAGTAAGGTTGGAGTTACTTTTCTGGCTGTATTGGCTGAAGTTACTGTAGACGACTATTTTAGCTATTTTTACATATAATTTTTTCTTTATTTTATTAATAAAATATATTTTAAAAATAATTTTTTCTTAAATCAGCAGAATCAGCCAATGCAGCCACTTCAGCCAGAACTTTATAAATTTCAACAGAATCAGCCAAATCAGCCGATTTTCATGCTACCAAACGGGCTCTGAGTATGTTATTTTAAAAATGTATAGCTTGAAAGTAATAGTGGGTTGTGCATAGCAAAACTGCCATCACATTGTGAATAATTTTAGACCTACGAAATTTCAAATTCAACCCACAAAAATTATTTACATTTTTCACATTAAGATTTCTTTTTATTTGATCCGGAATTAATATAGACATACATATATATTTTTAATGTATATATATATATATGTGTGTGTGTGTATGTGTAGAGTGTCATATTTGTAAATACTTCCATAAATTATATTTTGCATCTCTTTAATTCAATATGAACCTATTTTTATGCAACAATGTAGTGTCCCATCGCAACATCGTTAAATCCAATAAGTGATATTCATTTTCATTTCTCAAATTTATTTCGCAATTCGCACCTCAATCAATGTATTTGAATGATTTTAAATTATTTATATTTTGAAAATAAAACACATCCTTATGTTCACATATATTAATGAGTTTGCTAAAATATTAACAGGTATACATTTAGTCTAGGTACTTGTCGAGCTCTATACATTTTTACACAGTAACTTTACATCGTAATTGTCAGAATTCGAACCTAAAATTTACTCTTGTAACACAGCTCTATCTATCCGTTGAGCTAGACCACCGGTTAGTAAACTAAAATCAAAATAGTGGTAACGCGTTTGTCAATACGGAGTATTTAATACTCGATTGTGCCTTTTCTATAAATTGTATATTTGAGAAAATGACAGTTGTTTTGGAGAATCTATTACGTTTAGGTCTTTTATATCAAAGTTTAGATTAGTGGATAGTGCAAGGAAAATGTGGAAAGGAACTGTGGAAAATGAAGGATCGAAAGATACACAGAAAATGTGCCACGTGAGAAGAGGTGCGCCAGCTCCACAGAAAAGTACTACTCATAAGATTAGCAAAAAAAGGATATCACCCATCCCTGAGGGCCCCCCAACTCTGACCGGATGGTACGTTGGGAGGATGTAAATTGAGCTATAATCTCAATATTGCCATATACATAGACATAACATTATACGAAGTGTCATATCAAACTCGTATCTCCATATTGCCATGGAGCCCGGTCCGACGGGGTTGCCCAGTCCAGAACCGGGATTGGACGGCTCCGTTTTGACGGTGTCGGATCAAGACCCCCAGAGACCGGGTATTCGGGGGGGGGGGGGGGGGTACCCGGTCCCAAGAAGGAATTTTTGGGACCAGCCGGGCACGTGGGACCAGACCGGTACCCGTAATACCTTCCGGCCTTCGACCAATAGAAACCGCGGCTGGTCAGTCTGGGACCGGAACTGGGCCCATACCTACTTATGTCTATGCAATAAAGGAAATTAAGAAATTATTGTATGATATCGGCATTTTGAAATTATATTATTATTTTCAAATAATAATAGCAATAACTGTTGCTTTTATATTATAATAACATACAAATAACAAGAATAACAACAGTAATAAATAGTAATAATAATAACCATAAAAATATTGATAATAGTAATATGATTATAATAATGATGATAATAATGATATTGATGATGATGGTGATACTAATAATTATAATAATAGTAATGGTAATGGTAATGGTAATGGTAATGGTAATGGTAAATGGTAAATGGTAAATGGTAATAGTAATAGTAATAGTAATAGTAATAGTAATAGTAATAGTAATAGTAATAGTAATAGTAATAGTAATAGTAATAGTCATAGTAATAGTAATAGTCATAGTAATAGTAATAGTAATAGTAATAGTAATAGTAATAGTAATAGTAATAGTAATAGTAAGGCATAACATTTCACAGTCCAACTCTAGGATTAATTCTAGCAATATTTCACTTTAGTGCCCGACTAGTATATTAATACTAATCGGACCAATTTCAACAATCCAAGCTCTACGTTCATAGTCATATAGACAATTCCAAATGATTTTCCATCGCAAGTATCATTTACATCAATATACAAAATATCACTTTTAATCACTCATATATTCTTATATGAAGTAAAAAGTATATTTCAACATTTGTTTCATAGTTAATTCCACTATCAAGTAATCATACTCATAACACATGATCATACACAATATACTCATAATTTGTATATCATGCTCCTTTCATTATAGACAATAGTCTTCTCATTCTTAGGTATTATTAATCATTAATAATCCATAAAAACACATTTAATTACTTTAGGTAATCTCATGAAATTAACTCACTAATTATAAGCAATATAGTCAGTCATCCTCACCTTATAAAGTGCTTAACTACTTGCCTTTATGAAACCCCTCGATCCGTGTGACACCGCACCCGGATGTACTTGAATTTGAAAATTCAACATGTATTTGAATTTCCTAGCAAATAAAAATGGTGCACAGAATGATTTATTTATTTAATGTTTGATTAATTAAATTGTTTATCGGGCCCAAAATATTGAGAATGGGCTACTGAATAATTAGTTGGGTCATCTTAATAGTTATAGAAGCCCAATAAAATGTCAACCGAGGTTGAGGAAAATGTTTGGACAACCCGAATGCTATTTTGACCCAACCTGCCAGAAATAGCAGGGACAATTGGGAGGGATTTCCTACACCCACTTGGGGTATTCTACACATCAAATAGCCACAAATAATTGAGAGTGGGACAAAAATAAATGGGAAGGGGCGGACTAATGAGTGAGGGGGTGGTTAAGGACAAAGCCACACCCCTCATGTCTCATTCATGCATCAATTTGCTTAATTGATTGAGTGAGGTACCTCCCCCTTTCATTTGCCATCCTATACGAACCACTCAAAAGAGATAAGCTCTAAGAAAAAGCTCCATCAAAGTCCAAGGCTGGAGGGAGCAAGAGAAAAGGGAATCCAACACTAAAAGGCTAGGATTTGAGGTAAGAATCCAACTAGTATGAATTAACTAGTATTATTTTGTATGATTTTTAATAAATCATATGTTGGATTTAACATCAAGTTCTACACGTTTAAAAGTGTAGAATAATGTTATAAAGTGGTGGTATTTAACTTAGAAGAGTCGTGGAATCGATAGGAGTTGAAACCGCCACTCAAAGGGAGCTGTTCGTAGCTGCAGACCACGAAAGCCGCCCACCTTTTGCAAAAGCCGGCCGGCTTTCGTCTGCTGTCCAGATTTTCCACTTCTAATCGGTTTAGAACGGGGATTGATCGAAGGACTTAACAAAGGCAACTATTGCAGCACTTCATAAGGTGAGGATGACTGACTATGTTGCTTATAATTAGTGAGTTAATTTCATGAGATTACCTAAGGTAATGAAATGTATTTTCTATGGATTATTAATGATTAATGATGCCTAAGAATGAGAAGAATATTGTCCATAAGAAAGGAGCATGATATACAAATTTAGGAATAAATTGTGTATGATCATGTGTTATGAGTATGTTAACTTGATAATGGAATTAACTATCAAATGCATGTTGAAATATACTTTTTACTTCATATAAGAATATATGAATGATTAAAAGTGATATTTTGTATATTGATATAATGATGATATTTTCAATGGAAAATCAGTGGGGCATTCTATAAATGACCATGAATAGAGAACTTGGTTTTGTTGGAATTAATTGGACTAGTATTGATATACTAGTTGGACATTAAAGTGAAATCTTGCTAAAATTGATCCTAAGGTTGAATTGTTAAGTATTATGCCTTAAGTAGTCTTAAGAGATGCTTTAAGGTATGAAAGTATGAACTTTAAGTTATACTAGGGGTAGGTCTTAAGGGATACCCAAGATAAATTGAATAATAAATGGATCCTAGGTATAGGAATGGCCTACGGGCGTGTTCGGTAGTCCTTGAGGATAGCCGGTTGAGTTATGGGAATAAGTAAGGACCATGGCCCTTCCCGACTCTAGAGAGCGGGGTTGGATAGCATGGACTTGCATCGTGATCACGGGTTAGGGTGGAATCCGAATCGGAGACCTAACTAGGCTCCGGTAACGGTAACACAT